TTATTTAGTACTTAAAATATATCATAACATTTACATTACTTAAAAATCATGTTATTGAATAATACTGGTTATTGCAAAAATACTGGTTATTGCAGAGGTTATAACCACCTTTCTGTACATTTGATAATTTATCCGTTAATACCAAGTGACTTGTCCTTGCCTGACGCCCATGGCTTTATTTCAAAACCAGTTTGTTTTCAAACTGTTAAACTCCTGAAGATCGTTGTTGTTTTTTGACTGAGAATGAATTGATTGAAAAAAGATTAATACAATTGAATTTGTTTTCTTAGATATTCTGCCTTTCTATTGGATGGAAGGCAAAGTTGTTTTTCGTATGTATTGAACAGTCGTGTATACATACATGTAGGTTTATTGGAAAAATAAATAAGGATGTATAAAAATAAAAAAACAGTTTTAAATGACCGACTTGAAAACTAATTTCTCCCCCAACATAAAAGCCTTGTTAGGGTGGTTGAACGCAGCTAGTTTTATGACAGTCGTTAAGTTTAATTTCTATTTGTAGATGTGTATTTACATAATGCATATATTACTGCAAACAGTCAACGAACCCCAAGCGCCGATTTCGTGACTGTGTTTGATAATTTGAATTTGGTTAGCATGTATCTACTTGTATAGAGATCACATAGACATAGTTTCCTGTATTTGCAGCCAAGCATCATTAGGTGATGATCTTTTTCCCTCCGTCCATAAACAATTAGTGTTAGTGAACAGGTTTTACATCAGGGGTTTTAATGAACATTTTTGATACGATGATAATGATGCGCAAAGAAAATGGACCTTCCGTACGTAAACAATGTTTGTTATAGCTTTTTCCCGAGAAGTGCTTGATGGATCTTTCTTAAATTCCATGTATTGGTCCCACGCCCCCTGTGTATACCACAATCGGAAACACAATTATCCCATCGATTGATATAAGTGGGTTCGATTTTTGTGTTATGGCAATTTTCTGCCCCTTACTTTGTATATACCATACAGAGATGTCATTTTACCGACAATCCGGCCCCAACATCTCGGAATAGGTCCAAAAACACCTGTTTCAAATTCTCAAGTGCTGCAATCGTAGTTTCAGTCTGATCATTCGTATCATGTTGTTTTTATTAATTAAAATTAAACTATGATTAAATAATTCCAGATATATATACAGTATGAGTTAAGACATCATTATGTCGGTGCATCAAAGACGAAGTCCGACGTATCTCTACGCAACAAAAAACGGACATCTTGTAGGAATAAAAGTAGTAAAGCACATTAAACTGCGTCAATTATGTAGATGATTGATATGGTTAGAGGTTTGTTACATGAATGTATGAATGAGTTGTATTTATTGTTATTCTTTATTTTGTCTTGTATCGATTACTGAAGAGTTCCACTATTGAGAGACGTACTATTTCACTCGCTGAATCATTTTCGAAGAGGATCATTATTGTGATAGTGTTAAAATAAAGATAATAAAAATAGACAAACATCCTTTTGTTGTTTTTTTGTATAACTCGTGTAAATCTTTCATTTGTTCATATTTTGCTCTACTGTCATCGAATTTTAGTTTTTGTTTATTTTGCTTACTTGTCCGTATTTCCCTTGTTTTATTTATTTGCCTAAACAACGACAAGTGTAAATGAGCTCAGGTGATTAAAGTGATTTGTTACGCCTTTCCCTTTAATGAGTTGGTATGTTTATATTGTTTTACATCGAATTCAAATAAATGTGATGTGATGTAGCACTTGATTTAGACAATCTTCTTCGATGAAGTATATCAATCATGCTTTACTTCGATAAATTTTAAAATACTATAAAGTAATATTTTACTGGTGTATATCAAATAATTCGATGGAATTGCACAAGTACATTTAACCAACTGCCTACTCCGAACACTCAATTATCAAACACCAATGTCACATCCATTTGTCAATAACAATGAATTGCAAAGGAATTATTGATAGGATAAAGATAAGCGAACTGTTGTGAATTAAGCTTATCACTTACGCAATACCATTATATTTATTTCTCTGTGTACAATTGCCTCTGAAATTAGACGGATTTGTTTTGCAGACACAATATCGGTAATATGATGTTGATGCCCGTAACTGTATAAAGTGTCCGCGTAGTTAACTTTATCGGCAGTATGTTGTTCATGTGTTTACTTTGAATACTGTATGGAATAAAAATTGTACCTTTTTACGCGACGAGATTTGCTTTTAGAAATGTCATATAGGAATGTCGTACGTCTGTTTTACATCTAATTATATAATCATTCAAAGTCGTTACGAGGTAATCGCTGTATATATGATTCTTTTATTCTTTTGCTTAAATATCTTACAAAAGTTGCACAAAACACCGAAAATAGAAGCGATATCCTGTAATTCTTCAGAGACAAAAAATATTCATCACGGTTTAGATCCAGTTACTGGAGTATTGAAGTCCACGCTTATTGCCAAATAGTAAAACTCGTTTTTGTATGCGTCTCTTGGATTGTACTAAAGATTCACATGTGAAAAACACATTTTGATTCAAATTTAGATAAGGTACTGTAGAGATAAACAATGACTTAAACTGCATCATTTAGCTGTTTCGTCCTTCTTGCACTCGTCAGTGATGCTAGGGTCCAAAATTTCAAACGTAAGAGGCGAATGAGGACAATCCAGTAAACAAAGAAAAATGTGTCAAATCTAAATTGGGAGTTGCATTAATCTCGTGATTCAGTAAATTTCATACATTTCATGTATCAAATGAGGAATGGCGAACAACAATGGACTTATTTTGGCATAGACTCATTTATTGTACTCAAATTGGAGACTGAAAAAAAGCATTTGCATTCATTGAACATGCTAGATAGGTCCTTTATACTCCATTTTGACCTCTGACCTCCGTAATTATCGGAAACATATGGGAAAACTCAATGGTTTTAATTGTCTGGTACCGGAAAGAGATCGCACAAACCTTTACATACACGTATCGATACACAAAACACACGTGTTTCTAATATTTCTAATTACTGAACTTTAAGCTAGTATGTGTTTGAACATATTTTCTCCCGCGAAAGTTACTAAATGTAACTATATTAACATGTTTTTCCTGTTATATGTAAGACGAAAACAAGAGAAAAACGTAATATGAGTGCACTAAGATTAGTAACATTTGTGTCAGACGATTTTGTGTGTTTAAAGATTATGCTTAATGTGGTTTTTAAATTGATTTAATTGCTACATTTATAATTAATCAAGTTCTAGTCTACTTTGTTCTTTTTGTTATTAAGTTTTATAGGGAAACCCAAACCCGTCTAAAGTACATCGAAATTTAGTGCTCCTGAAGTGTAAGCATCTTAGGTTTCATCGTCGACACCCGCGACGTAACGCTTCTATAATAACGAACAGCAAACACGGCCAACTTCATATCAATAATGATATTTCCCTATGAGATAATTACGCTGTACGACGGTCAGATACTTTTCAAATAAAACCAATCACCATTACTTGCTACCCTGTGATATGAGTTAATATGTCAATTTGCGACCATCTTACAAACATCGTGATATTAGGAACAAATCCTTGGAAATTGAATGGACTTCGACATGTTAAGACCCTATTAATATAGACAATATCCACTACTGAAATTGAAATCATCATGGCTATCATACAGCTCGGAGGAAATCTACCCATGTTTGTTTCGATATAAAAACAGGTTGAGGTATATGTCCAAAGTAGAAGAGTCTGTAGTGTCCCTTATTTCCAAATCTGGTGGGTGTATACGATAGATATGATCAATAGATTTCTTGCTTTTCAAAGACAACGCATCTTTATAATATCTGAAAGTGAAATTATTTGAAGTATTTGTGACCTTTTTTAATCAGATTTCGTTGAGTAAGCATTGCATGAAAACGAAAACAACTTCCTACAATTATGGTGATCGTCTGTTGATTGATCTTGCAAAAACTGAGGAATGTATTGTCAACTGAAATGTGATCATTTTTACAAGTCCGTCGTCAATACATTTTCTTCCTTTCACGAAAAGTATCATTCACACAATCTATTTGTAACACTTTCTATGAATCGACAGCTTTCATACATGACAAAATTAATGTGTTCTGCAGTTTGAAAAGTGAAATTGTGGTGTACAGGGCGACAAACACTCTGATATAACCACACTTAGATAGTGACAAAAACGAATGGTGTGATAGTAATGTAACACTGTTGGAATTTTGCGGGTTATCAGAATAACCGTGAAGCTGAAGTATCACTTAAGAAGACCATTGATTGTAATTGTATGTTCAAAGTCACTCGTTGGGTCGATGGTTGCGAATTCCTTGCCTTATTTACTTATTTCAGTATATATTTTATACAGATCACTTAAAAAAATTCAGTTCCATTGCCCTTTATTATATGCATGACAAGTACAACATTAAGTGCATTACCGTCACTACAGTTCCTGATTCAAGTACGTTAGTATATGATCATTAACAACATAAACGTTTGCTCCTTAGCCCCAATGCCCAGTGTATATATCAATAATCATTTTTTGAATACAATATTCAGATAATAATGATAGGATATAAATCAGCGTTGGCAACATGATAGTGGACCTTTGAACCTAATTATTGTAAACCTTGATTTGATAATCTGTGTCAACAATTGGAATATTATCATCGAAGTATTGACATAAGCATCATAGCATTAGCCCATTCAGCTAAACAAAATAATTCAGATATAAACCGCATAAAATCAAAGCATTGTAATTCTTTTAGCTCAGATAGCTTAAGATAACATTGCCAAAATCAGCAACAAGCGCTTAATACTGCAATCAAATATCGACTTCAACCGTATAATATATTGTGTTTCAGCTCAATATAATTCAATTCAAGCATTATAATTAACGAAGCACTGAACGTTTAGTGTCTTAATTTTCGATTCAGTTCGTGTAAAAAAGTATGTTAAAGCTTTATATTCAGACATCATAATTAATTGATCGTGATAGCTTTGTGTATATCAAATATCGAATATTTCCTTTAAAAGCAAGTGTGCTTCACACTCATCCTCGGGTAGGCTGCAAAATCCGTTCTTCATATTATTGATAAATTCCGTCGATGCTTGTTGCAAATCCTCTTTTAACGCTAAAAACGAAAGAAACGTGTCCTTATTCTGAGAACGAATATGACCCAATTCCATTTGCATAACCCGTGCAACATCATCAGCAATTGATCGAATTCTGTCTCTTTCAACCAGCAAAGGACTATCTAAAAGAAAACAAGGGATAACTAATCATTTATAAACAATAATTACAGAATAAAAAATTATAGTTATTGTATCATTATTGATAGAAAACTTTCCTTTTCATTATTTGTTTTATTTCTGTGACCTGATGTTAATGACCCCGATTAAAACTTTGTCGAGTGTGTCCTTCGAACGATATTGCATAAAAATGCTGTTTAAGTTGATAATGAAACATCAGACTTCCTTTTATTTTCGCCCTAATGAGAAAAGGGCGAAACGCCGAAACGTTAACCTGCAGCTTCCCTGTATACAGAATATATGCCTGACAGAAAAACACCCTGAAATATGACCTACACTTTTCAAACGTATTTACAGGAGTTTATTCATACCTGGCTGATATTAAATCTCAAAGTTGACTTACTTGAAACCTTAAGAATACAATCTTTGGACTAAATATCATTCTATGCAATATCTTTCATGGCAAAACCGGCTTGAGATACGTATATTTACGTCGTAAATAACAATGGACGACAGACGTAAAGAAAAAAATAAACCTAACGTCTTTTTTAATATGAAAATCTGCTGCGGAGATATAGGCAATGTGAAAAAAATTACACGGGCAAACTGCCGACAAGAAATAAGGACATGATTTGTATTTTAGTTTACAGGTTTAAGACATTAACTATGCTAGCAATACACATACCTGATAATAAGATAATCGCGGCAAAGAGGGCTAATTCTGTCTTGTGAAAATTAAGTTGATGAATCCTTTCCGATAACTGTATAATATTACCGAGAAGTAATTGTGCTTCAAAGCAATTAATTATAGCCTCTTTAGTAAGGTACAGACTGGTCTGTGTACCTTTTAATTGAACATGCTGTCCAGTAAACGATCCATACATCTAAAAAATGAAAAAGACAAATGCATATTTAATTCATCAATTCAATTTTTGTGAATTTTATCTAAAACCTTGTGCATATTTAAAATATTTTTCTATGTTATTTCTCGTATGACCATTTTTTTCATTTATTGGAAAAGAAGTGTATTTCAGATAACATCAATTTATTAATAAATCCCATTGTTTTATTTCTTAATACATCTTTGTTTCTATAAGGTGGAATATCTTACTTATTGACACATTATTTGAGAAGATACAAACGGGCGATATCGTCACATTTACAACATGTAAGCGAAGAGCTTTTCATCATGAATAACGAAATGATATGTTCGGCAGATACTTGAATTAAGTTTGTTGTTATAGTTCGTACCACACAACAAAGGTTGTACTAAAAAGACAGCAACCAATTTACGTTAATCGTTTTCCAATTAATCATATATTCATATGCCTGTGATGATACACTGTACTACGTTTGTAGTGATACATTTTGTGAAATTATGCACCGTTATATTGTATTTGTATCGATGGCGTATATAACAAAATGAGTAAACTTACCATTAATATGCAAACAGAAAAAGCTCCATGTTTCATTAATGCTACTCTATCAGTTAGTTGCAAATCTAAGAATCCAGGTAATTTTTTGGCAAATTTGATTGCATCTTTTATCATAGGTACTAGCATTTCTTGATATAAATTAATTACTCCAAGTTGATGAAAGCCGAATGTATCCAGTTTGCTTATTACAAATCCAGAATAATCGTCATTAATAGGCTGAAAGAGAAAGAACAGCAATGAAAGAACAATAACAAATCTTACTGTACAAACCATTAATTTTCGTTGTTTTTTTTCTCTTATAATTCGAATTACTCTTAATCAACAAATTTATCTGTCCATGAAAAGATAAACAGACAAAATTTTTAAAAGGTTTCGGTACTATTGCAAAATTAATCCACCAGTGGCAGCAGCACTTCTTTGTAAAATCATAGAAGTTTGACCCCACGATAATGTATGCTTTCAGGTAAATATCAATTACAATAAAGTAGCTGTTTCTTTTTTTTTTTTTTTTTTTTTTTTAATTTTTTTTTTTTTTTTTTTTTTTGCAGTAATTTCATTTTTCAGTAATTATCATTTTAACTTGTAGGTAGTGGACAATTTTGTCATGTTTTCATGTACTTTTTCTAACATTAAAGAATCAAAAATAGTATGTTTTTTAACGGAGATAAGGAATTTGCTGAAAGTGTTCCATTGCGAAACTTGCTGATATAATATCCTTCGTTAGTTCATTTTGTATTTTATTTCAACTTAAGCCAGGAATAGATAATAGTGAAAATGAAAGAAAATTAAGACAATTAATTTACTTTCATCTTCCAAAGTAATATATTATCATTACGATATTTGAAGTAACGATACTAGTAATTAAAGTTTTCTTTCCTTATCAGATTTTGCTTTTGGATATTAAACTTACATTATTTATCGAATTATTATTTGCTTCGAATAAAGAAGACTTGTAGAAAACGTTAGAGAAATTCGTTGTAATTATATCAGAGATGTCCAGTTGTCGACGTCTATCGCCATTAGTGTTCTTGCGGTTGGCTCTCAGTTTTTCCCGTTCAGTGTTTGGCATTCTGCCAACTCTAATAGCTGTTCAAGAACAAACATAGATATTATACCGTTGATTACAACAGAGAAACGTTTGGAAACTCAAAAATTATTTTTTGTTGAAAAGGACAATAATTGTAATCAAGAGCAAACAATAAAGAAAATATACTGAGTGTTCTAAATAAGTTTTAAAATTGTAGATATGCGTACGAAAGAGGAAACAAGAAAAAAGTTACTTCCCCTTACATGCATATTATCCTTGGAAGTTATAAAAGATTATGTATCAATAAATCACTTAGATATAGTATTGGTTCATGCTAGACACATTTTTACAATTTAGAAAATAAGTAAATACACCGTATTTCATATTTGAATTCAAATGTTTTTTTCATTCCAAATTGGTTACAGAGAGTGCTTACCACCAATAGACATTCCAACCTGTACACACTTCTGGTATCTGCAAACCCTACATTTATATTTTGGCCCAATATTAGCTCGGCAGTTCTTCCCTTTCCCGCATTGTTGATAAATTATATTTTTCTTAATACATCTATGAAAAAAAGCCTGAAATAACAAAAAACAAATTGCAAATAATATATCTCGCCATGATAAAGATATTTAGAAATGTGAATTGTTGAATTAAGACACAAGATTATTCAAAGGGCTAAATCCATGATTAATTCACCCTACCTATTTTTACTTAGGTTATTGCATGGGGAAGAGAATATTAACTATGAATGTTTTATGATGTAACTTCAATCGACAAAAAAGTATTAATATTTTAGCACAGGCAAATATCAATCAACATCTACCATATAAGTAAATACATCAGGTCCCAACAATTAACAAGCCTGTTAACAAACTCAGTATAAGATTTTGCACGAGTACTTATAATTGACAAAAAACACTTGTGCATACGTCCATCGATGAAAATAGAGAACACAGATCATACTGTAGAGCTGACTAATCATACACCTCAGTCAAAAACCCACAAAACGTAAACATTCATACAATAACCTCTATATCTTAAAAAATCACAAGGAGTTTTGTAATAAAATCAATATTCTATGAATATTTCTCTACCGTGTTTCCAAATAGTATGTGACGTGTGTACAATTGCATCATCAACATTTTTACTGACAGGTTTGACGAAAGTGCCAACTATTGATGAAAATATGTAAAAATGAAATAAAAAAAGTCTCATTATTAGATTCTGTTGTTCTGTCGATAAATATTGTTCTTTGTTCTGGTGATATATTGATTTTTCACTTTTTTTTTCTCGTCCCGCTCTTTTACGATGAGTTATTTTATTCCTGAAACTAAAAAAATCAACTTTATTTGAAACTAAATGGTCGGTAAAAGCAAAATAACTAAGGTGGTTTGGTGCGTAAAACACGAATTAGTTAAGGTGAGTGGTGGAATTTTAATTTGAGTTTGTGTTGTTTGTCAGTTGAAGTGTATACATTTGCTAGGTGAAGGACGTGATACAATTTACAGCCTTGGACCATAATATAGGACGCTTGTAATTAAATATGTAAATGGCATGAATTTAATAACTTGCTGCCAGACAGTCCTGAATGTATTTATATACCTTGTCAGGAATAACTTAAATTTAAAATTGACAAGCCAACGTTATGAGTGATGTATTGTCAGCTTGATATGGAAAAAAATATTTCTTTGACAGTGCCAATTCGACTATTTTTAACAGATATATTAACGTTTACGATAAATCAATGTACTCGATCGATTAAGTAAATGATTAATTGACTTTCAATAATTATTTTTGTTTTAGGCGTGATTTGGTTAATTTTATTGGTATGACCTTAGTTGTTCAAGTAATGGCTAGTCTATATCATGGACATATCAAGGTGGACTTATATACTTAAGCGATCGAAAGTTTTACTTTATGTTGACCTTTACCATACATCGTTTTATTCATTAAAATTGATAAAAAAATACCCTTGACCTTCGGTGACCTGTACTTTCCGAACCTTTTAATCAACGTTTTCTTCTCTTTTTTGATAATGAGTTGTTAATAGATTTTGCTATATGAAACAAAATTTTGATAAAAATTAAAAGATATTTTTACAGTACAGTAGAAATATTAACAAGGAAAACAGAAAAACTGCCAAATCAAGACCACCTGTTAAACATGGGTGTTATATGGGAGAAATTGTTTTCTTTACATGAGGTTTATGTAAGTGACAATAAAACTTACCCAAATTCTTCAACTACATACTATAAACCCCTGTGTTGTATGGTTGCCTGGCAACTGAAACTACAAGATCTTTATCAAACATGTTAAATATAAGCTTTATGGATGTATGCCCGATGCATTGTATATTGTACATGAGACATGTTTTAAGTGTGATATTCTGTGTTTCATTGTGCATAGGTCATATTTATAACCTGATTTACAAATACGTATATAATCTATCTGCATTATGTTTGTGTGCATAAGCAGAAATTAAAGTGTACTTGTATGACGACCTACGCTAGAACACCACATACTATCTCAAGGAAGGGAAAGAGTCAGTTTTCATCACCATAATGACAGAAAACCAAAATTACAGCTACCTTACATCCTTCGCATGTGTAGGCTCCATAATGAAACCCGGAGGACATACAACCACAAATTTGGCACGACACACCAAGCTTTTCCGTGTATGTGGTCTTCACTCCAGCAATCGCCTAAATCAAGATAAACCAAGGTCATAATCAAACAAGTTAATCTGGTTTCAAACAAGGAATTTCAGAAAACAGTATGGAAGCTGTATTTATAGGGGAAAGTAATAATGTTAATCTCAAGCCCTGTTACAAAAGGTAGATTGCACTTAACTTAAAGATTGTTTTGTGGCATATCTAAAATAATCTCGTTTTTGTTAATTCTGTTGTAAGATGGAGTTAGATAAATGCTACAATGATTAAAGTCAAATGAAATAGACATAAAACAAATGTATTTGAGGTGATGGGTATTGTCCTGATGAAACTAGATAACACTTGCGCTGATTCCAACCGCTTATCACTGTGCATTCTGAAATTGTTATGTCTTAAGACATGTCAAATACAAAATGCATAATTCCCGCGCCAAATTCTTTGAAAATATGTTGATAAGAAATATATTAACTTTATTTCTTTTTCAACATTTGCAAAACAAGTTATAGCAATTTAAACTTATCATTCTTGTTGGCCCGGTTGTAAGCGAACGAAGGGTCTTACTGTGTGAGGAAACCGGAGTACGCGGGGAAAAACCAAAGTGGTCGGACAGGTAACCCCCGACGTTTTCACGTCCATTCCGGGAATCGAACCCCGGGCAGCAAGATGAAAGTCGAGTGCGTTACCACTGCACCATTCGACCAGATGAGTCACTCTCTACCCTCACCCCTTGTTGCACTGGGTGGAATCTCGCTGTTTCTACATTGTAACATTTCCGTCAGTATACGTTCTTGATTACAGTGGTATTATAGGTCATATGAACGAACCATGAGCGGTTAAGCATGGTTGAAATTTCTGGAACTGAATATTAACTGGTTTGTAATGAAGACGCACAAGGCCTTGTAACATGGATTCATGGTATATATAAACTTTATAACCATATTTATGGTGATGGTGATGTGTAAGCCTGTAACATTTGTAAGCTAAACATTTTAGGTATGTAACTCTGACAAAGCAGGGAGTTGAAACTTCCTAACATCTGTTCGGAGACATGTTGGATCTCTCAGCATAGAACAAAATATAACAACAGAGAAACTTACAATTATCAAGTAAGTTTTTTTCACCTTTTCAACGATAAGCAAAGACTCAGACTGTCGGGTAAAAGATAAGTGTGATCTCCACAAATCTGAAAGTGCCACGCGCTGTTATATAGCCAAATGCTGGGTTTTTTCATGGTTTTGATATCGTTCATACTTTCGTTTTGTGCGAGTTATTTTCCTCATGATTCTATCAAATGAAATGAGAGTGATGATACTTAGAAATAAATCGTATATACCTTAAATCAGGTTTATTTCGAGCAGCGTAAATCGTGTCATTTGGTGTAAAAATCGAACAACATATTATATCCAGGCTACCGAGAATTAGATACGATACTGATATGTTAATTAAACAAGTTAGAAAGCAGGTACTTACCTCATAGCTCATGCCTATGTCTTTGCACGGTAGTATATTCATAGTGTGATCTCCAGATGGTGAAGCCAATGTAGGCGAGTCCATTACGTGTTCAGACGGATAAACATAGAGACTGGTTACAGTCTCCATTCACATTTAAAATTGGCAACTTGAAAATAATCTTTAATTGGTATAAGGCTGTCTAACAAACTAATATATTGAGAAGATGCGAATATGCCTTTGATACTTGCACATCACACCTGCTGTATGAGGTGAACGTTGAATGTGTCGGAATTTATACGTGGAGGTTACTCTGTCACTCATTTTAATACCTCAACGTCACGTCTGTGTATATGGTAGGTCAGACGATGTGTTGTGAAACTATTTCGGGATTGTGGTGTGAGTCATTCACTTTTTTTTAAGTGTGTGCATATTGATAGTTGGAACATTTCAGATATTGGAACTGAGCAGCGTTGCCTTATTTAACAACAACAAAAAAAAAACACACACACAAAAACACATGCACAAAAAATTAACTGCAATGCAGATTCCATAAAACTAAACCAAAATATGATCAAAAGGACAATTTACACGGAGACCCTGGAAAAGTATATCTAAAATAAGAAGTTCTGGAATGATAAGCGTCCTCTGCTTTATTGACGACGCTTGACAGATTTTTCTGCATTGGCTACCAATATATACTTCGGCTTTTCCTACGGTGAGAGCAGCAAACATGCGTAATGACTTCAATTTCCCTGTTTTTGATATTTCATTTCTGGATAGCAACATCCTTCGGTCTCCAGTCTGTGATGCTTGGTGCCACAGCTGATTCGATACTCCATGCTTTCCATGTAGAATATCGACTGATGGATGATGAAGATTTTAGTGGGGAGTTTTGCGATCGCCGTATAAATCTCATTTGAAAAGATTCTGTTTTACGGTACAATAAGAGGTAGAGCTTGTTTGAAGCTAGTTAATATGCCTGGTGGTTCAGCTTTGTTTGCCTTGTTGTCGTTAGGGAACATGATATTTTCTTGGATTATTCGGATTGAGTTGGCGTGAGTCGTTGATGAAGCAGAGTGCACACGCCATGCTACTATCAAATATATTATTGTGAAATTCGTTCGTTTAACAATATCATACTTCTGATCAAACATGATTTCCATTTATCTTTTATTAAATTAAGTCTAATTCATTTTAAGATGTATAATGCACGTACTCATGCAACACTCAAAAAACAGGGTGATGCATAAACGTGTGATATTTTTGTTGTCAATGGTTATTTAGATAATTTGACGGCAAAGCGATATGCATTTAAGCAACGTAACATGTGATCGTGAAATCATACAAGAACAATTACTAAGACCTTTACATCATAATCAATTAATCAATTATATGAATATACAAATGCCGTGAATTTAAAAAATGTTAAATTTCGGTCTTAGTTTCAATTTCCAATTCTATTAGGATTATGGTGTGTGCAAACGCTTGTTAATGCCCTGCATAAATGATTCTTGAACGCAGTGTGGAAAATTGCTGAATGACTTTATACCTCATAAACCTAGGGTTTAACAACTTAGGCCCTGGACATCAGCGGCGAGTCCTGAAAGAACGTGTTGGTTCAGTTTCTTTCATAATTTGGCGATTTATGCATTAGTAGCGCATTATGTAAACGTACCATACTCTATAGGATCAACGAGTGTATCGTTTGTCTTTATTCATTTGATTTTTATAATTAAGTCTACTTACATTCTGCATGCGTGTCACACGCATAAATTGCATAGACGAACGCTGGGGTAAGGCTAAAGGAGAACGATTCCAGAGCTTCAAGGTGACACCTTTTGGCTAGGTGAGTAAACACTGCGCCCAGCTTTCAATTCTGATTCCAAATATCACTGCTGTCCTATTTAGTTTCCCTACCATCCCAATAGGTATGCGCCGCCTTTATGAATATTTAATTCGAAAGGTGCCGTTCATAATTGATTTCTGAATCAAGGTAGTTTTCGTATGCCTTTCTTGTCGATCAGTACACAAGTAACAAGTAATCTAAAATGCAAGGAATGACACCCCAATGCATGTAAATTTGTAAAACTATATGAACATTCGCTATTTATGGAATAATTTACAACTTTTCATATTCAAAACCTGTAATAGTACCAAAGTACCATAGGCATAGTATATGAACGTTTGTAATTATTATCATATTTATGTATTAATTTATCATTTGTTTATGTCATGTATGTTTTATTGTTTTATTTGTTTTGTTTGTTTTATCGTACGTTTTCATTTATTTACGATAGCACTTTTTAAAAATAGAGATAAACAGAGTGACTAAGTTTACGTAGTTTATAAACTGACCTCTCATAAAGTTATATGTGAATTACCATTGATGTTAACATTGGCCTTGCTGCGTTGAAACATATTTTCACCATTATTTTGCTTTATTTTCATAGGTAAAATACAAAAGTAGTTAATAATGTATTTTTCCTCATTCATTTTACACAATATAAAATGCATGTAAATACAATCAAAATAAGCATGAATTTCTTACATAACATGGCATTGCATCCTTGTTTATGTTGAATATGCATATCTGTCATTGTGATAAGACTGTGTTGTTGCCTTTCCATCTTTCCGGCCGGTACCTTGTGTTAAGATGACGTCTGCCTTTCCATCTTTTCAGCCGGTACCTTGTGTTAAGATGACGTCTGCCTTTCCATCTTTCCGGCCGGTACCTTGTGTTAAGATGTCGTCTGCTTTTCCATCATTTCGGCCGTGACCTTGTGTTAAGATGTCGTCTGCTGCCATAGTTATTTTGACTGCTATAAACAACCAGCGAAATTTAATGAGTTTCGTGTAGTTCGACTCAATAGGACAGGTACAAAAACTTTACAGAAAGTGTGTCATCGTGACCTCAGACATTCTAGTTTATCACATCCCTAACTCTAAGATGTCAATTATGTCTGGTAGGATCTTAACCACCTGAATACTTACTAACTGACTTACTTATACATTTAACATCATTTTCTGGGAATATATTACTTACTAGCTTGCTGATATGCTCAGCGCGAGGGATTACAAGTATCAGTGGCATCCAAAAGCCAGAGACGGATAACCGGAATCATCATTACCTTTCCACTAATATTGTTAGCTTATCGTTTATAGAAAAAACATCAATCATTTGTTTTCTATTCAACCTGTTATATTATAGATTCTCAGTCAGTGTACCTGTTGCAACTTTTTATATGGGTTTCAGTAAATAAACGAGAACTGACATTAATTGAACTGATTTAGTATCTAATTATTTTTGCCAGCGATGTTGAATTGCCTCAATGCCACTTTTAAAGAAGTTATTCTTTTCCTGACCGTTCAGAAAGTCCTCCACTGTATTTATGACATCATAATTGACGAAAATAGTACCGGAAATGGTATTTTTCAATTTAAGAAAAATATGAAAATCTTATGGGGAGAGATCAGACGAACACGGTGGATGCGTAACCAATTCAAGGCCACAATCGTGAATGGCAGTCAAGGTAATGACTAACTAGTGAAAGGGGCATTGTATGTTTCCGCGACACTTGAGTTTAATGATGCATAATTTGTGCCATTGATTGTATGTCCCTGTCCCTATTGCAAATACTCTACCATCAGAATACCATCAGCGTCCCTCCCTACCCCCCCCCCCCCCTCTCTCTCTCTCTCTCTCTCTCTCTCTCTCTCTCTCTCTCTCTCTCTCTCTCTCTCTCTCTCTCTCTCTCTCTCTCTCTCTCTCTCTCTCTCTCTCCACCTAAAGGTAAATATATATTTTAAAAGTGGTATTACTTTGTTTTCTTTCAGATAAAAAATAAATACTCATTACAATAGTACCTGGTAGATAAAAACAACTAGTGACTACGGTTGAAGCTCGCATTACTAAAGGATGTATCACCTCGTGTTTCAAATCAATTAAAAGCATATACTTTAACATTCATATAACACCTGATTATAATGATTCACCTGCAAAAGATTCAATATTGCATTTTCAAAGAACAAGCCTTGATTTAAAGTGAATATTTATATACATGCATTTGCTTGTTACAACTTTAATTATGAAAGCTAATTTAATAAGTTTTATCTTAATATCATGGACATTTTATCAACTAAAATATATGTCTACAAAATTTCATCCAGCTAACATTCTGTTTTCATTGCTTTCCTTCCATGATTATAAGCTGTCATTTCCACCTCTAACAATGTAAATGCTCACATATACCACATTGTCCTACTTAATGTGAACAATTAAGTACAAAATGATTTAAGCATTTTGCAGACGTGGTGCATCGTCCTGATTATAAAAAGGGAGAACAACAAAATAAAGTTTTTGTATCATGCAAAATTGAATGCACTAGTTGTTTTTTCTGATTATCGAAATGTCGAAACCCTCGGAAGTGGAACAAAATCGATTTAATGTTTAAATTGTGGTCTTTATTCATCTTCATCTGTGGAAGGAGACCAATGTGTAATCCCAATCTGAAGATTTTTTGCAATAAGATTTGTGTCTCCAACTTTTCATTCAAATTCTTGAAACTGTAATATCATCAAATCAAATTCTGTGGTGCTATAAAAAATTTAACAAGCTACTCACGTAATTTTTTTTTCAGAAATACAATTTCTGAAGTATCTTCAAATGCACAAACTGTTTTTAAATATATTGTTATAACAATGGCGATAGGGATAAAAAAGAAAATAGACAACATTATTGGCAAATCATTAAAATGTTGAAATAAATACAAAATTGAAAGGAAAAGCCTCCAACAAATATATTAGTAAATATTGGAATAAAATATTAAATTAATTAAAGATTAAAGAGAATCAGTAATTGAACTGCCGTCGAACAGAAGACGTTAACCTCAAATTTTTCAGTTTCACAAAATCATTCATAGATTGACTCCTAGTTATTTAACAGATATGCTTCCACTTAAACAGATCAAATGCATGATCGTAACACAGACGAATCTCGGAATATCCTTTATCTACAATCTAGACCAGCATTTTAGTGACACGGTACAGACTATACACATGTACTTAACGTTCTTGTCAGATATATTAATATTAAGAAATCTATAGGATTATGTAACTAGTGCACTTCCCCATATAGGATTTGGCTTATC